CTCGAACTGGGGAGCTTTCAGCACAAGGCTGTGAAGGCGCACTATATATTCCATTATTACGTCACACAGTTCCTAATCGTGCGACAGAGTGCGGCATGCCATATTATCAAGTTGATCCTCAATCCACACCTGATACGCAACAAAACACTTCACAGCCGCATTCAAGTGATAGTATAGAAAACTATATTCGCGAAAGTGAAGACAGTTTAGATCAGGACTCAAGAGGTCATGTGATCTCAAGTGGTAGTTATAACAACTAATCTAAACATGTTGGATATACGGGTAAATTGGCTTTTAAATAGGAATTTGTGATGAAACGAAATGTAAGCACAATCGCTTATATTCTAAGTTTAAGTGGAATATTAACTTTGGCTGGGTGTCAAACAACACCCCAACAAAATTCTAAACCAAGCAAATCTGTTGAAAAGCCAAAATCTGAACAGCCTGACCATCGGGTTGCTACACCAGATGGGGTAAAAATTACCCCTTATGAACGCCCTGAAATTAAACGTGAAAAAGTTCCTGTCGTAATTGCACCACAATCCAAGCCTCAAACGCAAAAATTTGAGGATGGAGAAAATATCCCAGCCTTTAAACAGCTCATCCAACAAACTCAAACGGCATATCAAAAGGGCCAGTGGGATGAAGCTGAACGTTATGCAATCCATGCACAACGTATTGCACCACAATCAGCACAAGTGTTCTCGTATTTGGCTCAAATTGCCAATCAGAAGAAACAATATGCGAATGCTGAATCTCTAGCACGACGTGGTTTAAGTTATGCGCAAAGTCCATCCCAGAAGAAAACCTTTTGGAATGTTATCTTGCAGGCTGCTCAGCAATTAAAAAATCAACAGAGCATCGCAGAAGCGCAAAAACAGTTACAACGCTTATAACTGTTTAAGGCAATACCTCTGCTCGATTAAAAATTTCGAATCCCAGCAATCCCGTATGCATAATGCTGTTGTGCAATCGCTAAATCAGCTTGGCTTAATCCTCCCAATGCAAAAACCGGTAAATCACAAGTTTTGGCATATTCAGCAAATTTTTCCCATCCAAGTCCTTTGGCTTCAGGATGCGTCTGGGTTGCAAATACTGGACTTAACATCACAGCATCAAAGCCCAATATCTGTGCTCGCTGTAAAGATACCAAATCATGACATGCTGCTATACAACGTAGACCGATTGGTAACTGCTCGATGTGTAAATCCATCAATTGATGCTGTTTATAATGTACAGCAGCTATACTTTTTTGAAGATGTTCAGGCAACTGTTGCCATAGCTCTATATTGACGATCAAGCGAGATAAGGCATTTGCAGCTAACTGCGAAATTTGTGTTACAGCAACCTGATCTGCAGTCGTTCTAAAATAAAAAAATTGCGCGTTGTCATCTAGACTTTTTTCTATGCTCAATGCTGAAAGATTGTCGGAGATTTTAATTTGATGCGCCCAGTACAAGCGTTGAATAATCGCTTGATTGGCTTTAGGGAAATTCAGCGCGAATAGTTGATCACGCCCATACCATGTCCAAGGTTTCTGAATATCATGCAAATATTGTTCAGGAACAGTGGCATGAAAAAGATGGAGAAACACTTCAACGTCATCATAAACGTGATGAATCACGTCAAAAGCATGCCATTGCTGGATGCCAATTCCCACTTCCTCAAAGATCTCTCGACGACATGCTTCGACAGGCGTTTCCCCTGCTTCAATTTTGCCGCCAGGAAATTCATATTTATTGCCCTGATGCTGATCCGCATTGCGCCAACCGACCAACACTTTCCCACGATAAAGTAATAAAGCGATAGCCACATGAATACTGGGTTTAGACATAAAAATCGACACCTGAATTTTTAATGAATTGTAAGCAATTATAGAAATTTTATAAATGATAAAAATTATCGTTGACAGACCTATTCGATAATGATTATCATTTAAATCACTTAGACAGCACCCCACACGGAGTAACAATAATGAACGCACCTTTTAGCCTATTCACACGTAACACTGAAGCTCACCAATCTCTTCCGATGTTACATTCAAATAACTTATTTGCATTAGGGCGCGAAATTCGCATCATGCATGCTGGAGAAGAATATCGCTTACGTTTAACACGTAACAATCGTCTAATTTTGACCAAATAACTATAAAAACATTAAGTTAAAACAAAAAACGTGGGAACAAGCAGTATGAATCAGCGCATACTGCTTTTTAATTTTGTCAGCTGATTTTTAATGCTTATCTATAGATTTTTATACAACAACCTATCTCTATAAAACGATCTAATGAAATGCTAAACACTCAATAAAAATAACCGATTCAATCGTACAGCTTTAACGTAAATAAACACAAACGCTCAAACCGCCATATTCGGAAGCAGCAAACTGAATCTGTCCATGATGCAGATCGATCACCTTTTTACAAATTGATAAACCTAAGCCTGAACCTTGTGTTTTGGTCCCCAACGCTCGGTAAAAACGTTCACCTAAACGATCTAAGATGTCTTGAGGAATACCCTCACCATCATTTTGAATTTCAAAGCTATTGCTATTGTTTAAAGGTCCAATCTGAATATAAATATTGCCCTGTACTGGCGTATAACGAATCGCATTATCGACAAGATTGCGAATACAAATAAAAAGTAATTCTTCATTTACATAGACCTGAACATCTTCGCTTTGAATATGAATCTGAAGCTGCTTTTCGTCTATAAAAGGATCTAAACTATTTAACACATGCTGAGTCATTTGCTCCAGACTTATCCAAGTCTTCGGTAATTCACTGGCATCCGCTGGATCTAATCGGGCCAAAAGCAAAAGATTTTCAAGGACTAGCGTTCCTCGATTCACATCATTTTGAATACTATTGAGTTGCTGATAAATCTCAGGGACCTCGGCATATTTGCGTTGTAATAACTGCAAACGCATTTGTATCGCAGAAAGTGGCGAACGTAATTCATGTGATGCATCTGCGGTAAAGCGTTGTTCAGCAATTAAAGCTTGATCCAGTCGCGCAAGCATTTGATTGAGCTGATTGACCATCGGCTCAAGTTCTTTAAATGCAGGCTGTTGCTGAATTAAGCTGAGATCATTGGCATTTTTCTCTGCAATTTCTGTCGAAAGCAGTTGAATAGATTTAAATTGTTTTTTAACTGAGAAATGTAAAATCAACCATTGCACCAACCAGAGACTCAATAAAACCAATAAATAGCTGATAAAACTTTGCAATAAGTCTTTAAAACGGACACTTAAGGGCTGTATAACATAGACGCTTAACTGAGAATCCTGATCAATCGCTCGGTAGCTACGTAACAACTTATTCTCTGACCAAATAAATGCATATCCATTGTCTTCACCCTTAGCCAGAAGATTGTCATGCCCTTGTTGCAAATCAAATTCAGGTGATTGGGTCAACATCACCTCACCATTCATCAATCGGTACTGAATATCAAATTCATCACTTAACTCATCCAATTGAAAACCAGACGTCGCGCTTAAATCTGAGATCAGAAGCATATCTGCAACTTCATCCATGATTTCATCTTGTACGTTCATATTGTGATAAATCGAAAGACTGACCAGAAGTACCAGCGCAAAAATACCGGCCACAATTGAACTGAGCATTGAAGTCTTAATCAGCTTAGCTTGTAGTGATACTGCCTGCGTCATATTCATCCTATTGAAATCATTAAAAGTACTCGGTGAAATACTCAATCTTGCTCTTTATTCATACGATAGCCCAAGCCACGGATTGTTTTGATCAAATGTCCACCGATCTTCTTACGCAATTGATAGATATAAACTTCAATCGCATTACTTTCAATTTCATCTCCCCAAGCATAAAGTGATTCTTCCAATTGCTCACGTGTCACAATATGTTCAGGCTTTTGCATCAATTTATATAAAATTTGAAATTCTTTTGCGGTGAGATGAACAACTTGCTGATCCTGAAATACCGTTTTCGCTTGAGTATCTAATACTAAATTTTCATATTTTATTTCATGTAAATTTGTGACTTGGGTTTGTCTGAGTTGTGCCCGTACTCGAGCAGATAATTCTTCTAAACTAAAAGGCTTTACCAAATAATCATTTGCGCCGAGATCTAAACCTTGCACACGATCTTGAATACTATCTCTTGCGGTAAGAAAAATCACTGGAATTTCTGGAAATTGACGTTTTAACAGTTTAAGAATTTCATCGCCAGTGGCTTTGGGCAAACCACGATCTAATAAGATACAGTCATATTGATGCTGTTCAATGGCTAAAATTGCATGATCACCACGTTCGACCCAATCTATATTGTAGCCATCCATTTCCAACCAAGATTTAATACTTTCAGCTTGTGAACTATCATCTTCAGCGAGCAAAATTCGCATAGACCATCTCTCTTTTAGGCAGATAAAGCCTTGATCAAAATAAAATCTGCAGTTTGTTGCTATTCATAGTTGTTGAACATAGGTAAAGACCACATGCATACACATGTAGTCTTAGAGAATATAACGAGAATCTGCGGTGATTTATTGTTAACAAATAAAATAATTAAAAATTCACGGCATCTACATCAATTTCTACACGTTTTGTCGGTTTATAATCGATATCGACCTCACCAAACAATGTCACTGTAGCATTTGCCGCGATCGGTTTACCTTGCCATAATTCATCATCAATATCGACAGTAATGCTACCTGTGCTATCACGGAATTGATATTTTTCATCACCGATTGCTTTGACTACATTGCCACGAAGCTGCACTTTGGTATCATCTTTCAATGTTAAAGCTTGTTTTACTGTGGTTAAACTTGGTGTAAGCGCTGATTGATTTACCGCTGTGTTTGCAGTAGCAAAACTTGTTAAACCAATCAAGCTTGTGGTTAAAATTGTTTTCGCAATGATGTTCATTGTTGTGTCCTCATATCGGTTCATCGTTTCGATAGAAGCATTAAAACAAACCAACATGAGGTGAATCTTAGGATTTCTTCATTTGCTATTTTAAGTCAAAATTAATTTAAAGGCACAACTCTGAGGACTTCTTCCAGCGTTGTTACGCCTTCCAATACTTTACGCGCACCAGCAATTCTTAATGGTTCAATACCCTCTTTTTTTGCCTGCATTTTTAAATCGTCTAAAGTCACGCCCGCACTAATTCTCTGCTTTGCTTCAAGGCTAATCGGCATAAACTCGTAAATCCCGACACGACCTTTATAACCTGTTTGACGGCATTCCTCACATCCAACTGCTTTATATACAAAACTAGGCATTTTGGTCTGATAGCCAAATGTCAAATGCTTCCACTCTTGTTCATTGATAAAGGTTTCTTGTTTGCAATGAGGGCAAAGCTTACGCACTAAACGCTGAGCCAATACTCCCAAAATCGTTGCAGCGGTTAAAAAAGGCTGCACGCCTAAATCATGCAAACGTGTCAGACTTGATGGTGCATCATTGGTATGCAGAGTTGAAAGCACTAAATGACCTGTTAATGCTGCCTGAATCGCCATGTTGGCAGTATCTTGGTCACGAATTTCTCCAACCATAATAATATCTGGATCTTGACGCATCAAAGCACGGATACCATCAGCAAAACCGAGCTCAATCCCTTGATTGACCTGCATCTGGTTAAAGCTTGGCTCCAACATCTCAATCGGATCTTCAATGGTACAGACATTCACTTGTTCGGTTGCCAATTGTTTTAACGAAGAATAAAGCGTGGTGGTTTTACCTGAACCTGTGGGGCCAGTCACCAAAATAATGCCATGACTATGTTGCGTTAAAGCATGCCACTGTGCCAATAAATGTTCATCAAAACCCAATTGTTGAAAACTTCGTACCAAAACTTCTGGGTCGAAAATACGCATCACTAACTTTTCACCAAAAGCAGTCGGCAATGTTGAAAGACGTAGCTCGGTTTCTTGCCCTTTCGGTGTCCGTGTTTTTAAACGCCCATCCTGCGGTTTACGTTTTTCTGCAACATTCATACGACCTAAAATTTTAATCCGTGAAATAACTGCGGTTAAGGTATTGGCTGGCATATTATAAATCGTATGCAGTACCCCATCGATACGAAAACGAATTTTGCCTTTTTCCTTACGCGGTTCTAAGTGAATATCACTCGCGCCTTGCTCAAAAGCAAACTGTAAAACCCAATCGACCAGTTTCACAATATGCTGATCATTGGCATCTGGATTCTGGGTATCACCCAATTGTAAAAGTGCTTCTACACCCTTATTTTCTTTATCATAGGCACTGGATTTTTGTGAATTACTGACCGCTTTACTGACTTGATAGTACTCAGTTAAATAACGTTGTAATAACTCAGGATTTAATACTACTTTTTCAATTTTTTTGGGGCTTAAACTACGCTCTAAATTATGTACCCAATCCGTCATAAAAGGCTGTGCTGTACCAATCAGAATTTTATCGGCACTGACCTCAACTGCTAAAATTTTATTTCTTATTGCAAACTCTTGCGACATGACATTGGTCAGTGAAGTCACATCGGCCTTTAAAGGATCAATCGTAAATGAATTAAGTTCGGCTTTTTCAGCTAACCATTCTGTCAGCGTGGTCAATGTCAGTCTTTTAACTGGATTTTTAGCATCAACGAGCTTAAAGCTGGCTATCCATTGCAAAGGATGCCACTTTAACTGATCGCGTTGTCGATGCGTGGTTTGTACCAATAGTTTTTCACGTTCTGTAATACGACCATCTTTTAATAATTGTTCTAAACACCAAGCTGTATCGATTTCAAAATTAAATTGCATTGTTATATCCCCGAAACTCAATCTACTATAACAAAATTAATTGTTGTATTTCTTGGATTTTCTAAATTCAACAATGTATTTAACGCATGGCTAAGAAATAAACTTTTGTTTTTCTAAAACTTTGCGATACATTGAAATCATTCTATTAATTCATGGTCTTATTTGGAGAGTACTATGAATTTTATATCGCTATATCCATTTTCATTTGGCTCATATACCGATTTCCTCACCATCATTGCGGCTGCATTGGGTTGTGGTCTACTTATCGGTCTTGAACGTGAACGAAGTCAGCAACGTGAAAATCAAAATAGTTTTGCGGGTTTAAGGTCATTTGCCATTTGCGCTTTACTTGGCGCTGTTTGCTTTTTGTTTGGTCCCTATTTTGGCATTGCGGGTGCATTCATTACAGGTGGTATCGTCATTTATTCTTTAAAGAATCAAACTGATGATCCTGGTGTAACCACTGAAATTGCATTTATCCTCACTTATTTTATCGGTGGAATGTGCGTTTGGAATATTTCTTTTGCTGCAGGTTTATCGGTCATCCTCACCGCCTTGTTGATGACTAAACATTCTATGCATGGCATTGCTGGAAAATGGATTACAGAATCTGAATTTAAAGATGGAATTTTCTTACTGGCATTGTTATTAATTGCATTGCCACTGACACCAAACAAAGCTTTGTGGGGTGCTGTGCTTAACCCCTATGTTATTTTAAAATTACTCACCTTAATTTTGGCGGTGCAAGCACTTGCACATATTGCCAAACGATTATTGTCATCAAAAAATGCCATGCTGTTGTCTTCGCTTGCTTCTGGTTTTGTTTCCAGTACCGCAACCATTGCCAGCTTAGGATTAGAAGTCCGAAATGGACGTGCAGATGCCAAAGCCAATGCAGGGGCAGCATTAATGTCTTGCGTGGCAACCCTACTACAACTCATGATTATTGTAATTGGTGTCAGTATTACATGGTTCAAACTCATTGTACTGCCCAGTCTAATCGCTATTTCGATCCTGACTATTTTTGCCTTATGGTTTATGCGTCATACACAACCGATTGAAAATAATCAGCTTACAGATAGCCGTATGTTTAGTCTAAAAGAAGCAGCCATTATTGCAGTGTCTTTGACCTTGATTCAGGCGGGTGTATATGGGTTAAATCTTTTATTGGGCGATGCGGGTTTAATTGCAGGTACGCTTTTGGCCTCATTATTTGAAATTCATGGTGCTTTGGCCACGATTGTCATTCAGGGAGAACCGAGTAATCACATCTTATCTCTCGCCTTTGTTTTAGGTTTAGCAGCACATGCCATTGCGAAATCGATAAATGCATTTTTAAGTGGTGGCAGCCGCTATGCCTTGATCTTTGCTCCAATTCAAATTTTGCATATGACAATGTTTATCATCGTTTTTGTTTGGGTTCTTCAATATTAAATGCACTTTTTTTTGCGAGGATGAAATTGAGATCAACAAAATCATTTTAAGCTTTCGATCAATATATAATTATAAAAATTAACAGAATTTTAACTTTTCATCAAAAAAACATTGAAAAATTAAAATGTTTAAATATGATGACAGCGAGAATTTTATACTCATAAATTTTAATATTTTATAATTTGGAATAATTCATGAAAATTAAATTACTGTCTTTTACCATCATTTCTTCATTATTTTTAACCGCATGTGGAGGTGATTCAGATGCTGGGGATTATACAACAAACAACGAATCTGAATGGTTTGGATATGAAACTGGCGGTTCAACTCAAGACATTAACCTCTTTACTAAAGTAAAGTTTAGCTTTAACAATAAGCAGATGTACATCAATGGTGAATATAACGTTGATGGTTCAACACAGTTCCTTTCATCTGATCTTTTAAGTGATTATTTAGCAACAGATGGGCTCTATGACGCGCCTAAAAGTAAAACTGATTTAGGCTATCAATATGCAACATTGAAATCGAAAACAGCGACAGTTTGGACATTTACACCCTATTCATCACGTAACTATAACCAATTGGAATTAACTGAAAAATTTGAAACAGTCAACTTAACAGGCAAAGCAATTAGTCCATATATCAATGGATTTGAGCATTATGCTGGCTCAAATATTGCGCTTAGCTCAATAGTTGGCGCTTATTCTTCATATTATGTGCAAAAACTTAAAGGCAAAACATTCCCATCTGGATCAACGTGTTTAAGATCAATTTCCTCTTCAACAAATACAAACTTCGCTGATCTTTATTCAGACAATCGTCTGAATAATTACAACCCATCAAAATATTTTAAAGATGGTTATATTTCAACGACGCTAGGAAAATTCAACTTAGATTTATCCCGAGACATGCAATTGAATACATCGGTTGATGCCGTAGCTAAAATCGGCTCTGACTATTACCCTGCAAACTATTACACTGCGGGTGAATATGACATACTTGCAAGCCAAATTAAGCAATATGAACGAGATTATCAAGATGCTGTTGCTGAGTTTGGTAAAAACAGTATAAATGCTCAGTTAGCAGAAGCTTATCTAAATGGCTTAAAGTCAGAATGTACGCTGTTTAACAAAACAGCAAGTGTTGCAATTGATGCTGTAAAATAAAAGATATTCTTTTATATAGCACTGACTAAATCTTATTTTTAGTCAGTGCTTAAAATAATTTACTTGTTTCATTTTGTAGCTAGAAAAACAACAAAGTTAAAAAATCACAGCAAGTTTAACAAAATCTACAACCATCTATTTCACAACAGCCTAACGATATTTGCCAAATACTTTCCAGAGATTGTTATCCGCTAAAGGATCAGCATAGCTATCATTACGTGGCTTGCGCGGCTTATCTCGGGCATCCACCAATTTAAAATCTTTTTCAGTGCTCAAGATTAAACCATTCACATAAAATCGTGTTCTCGTATATTCTCTTTGTCCATACTGAAAAATATAGGTTCTTAAATCAATGAACTCACGATGCGCAACCAAGGCTGCGGTATCATCACTGTTTAACCACTGCGACATATTTTTAATTTGGCTGGGTTCAAATTGCCCACATTTCTCAACCAGTGAAGCTATCCCACGAAAAGTTTTTGATTCTTTGGCACGGGTTTTATTAATTCGAATCCGATCTACATGAAAAAAGAACAAAGGTAAATTTAAATGGCTGGGTAATTGAGCCACATCTAAAGCCTCATCCTGCATAAAAGGTTGATACAAGGTTTGTGCCCTTTCAAGCAACCCAAGCCACTGTTTATAGTAAGCCTCTACTGCGGATTGGGTTCCATAATAAATTGGCAAACCTTCAACATTGCTCAAGTCTACAGGCGGCCAAATATTTTGGCGTAATAATGCAATATCACTTTTCAAGCTTTGTATGGCAATCGCATCTTGCATTATCTACTCCTTGAGTATTTATTAAGCTTAGGCTATTTGAGTATGCTATAGTTATATCAATGAAACAAGTCTATGAAAAGGAATGATAATGTCCGAAAATAATGATTTTTTTGAAGAAACTGAAGAAGTTGAATCTGACGAATACTTTTATGAGCGTGCTGATGAATTTATTGCTCTCGCCAATCAATTTGCAGATCAAAATCAACAAGTTTCACACCTAACAGCACATCCTGGAAAGATCAGTGCTTCATTTATGTATGCCAATGCCCGTTATAGTATTTGGCATGCAGCTTGTGCCTACAATCAAGCACCAGATTTTAAAGCGGATCGCCAAGTCATCTTAGACTATTATGTGGAACAATTTAAACTCATGCTTGAAGATCATCTCGATGAATATCAAGAAAATTTTGACAGCTATTTTGCAAATTCAGATACAGAAGAAGTAAAGCGTTTCGTTTAACTCTTGGATTGCCTATAATAGCCCACCAATGAAATACGCTATGTGGAAAAGTCATGTCTCAAAAAATCGATGCTACTGATGTCACCGAAGAAGAAGCTTTAAATGCTGTTTTTTTTGAGCGTGCGGATGAGTTTATCAAACAAGCCAATGAGTTTTGCCGCCCAGCGAAAGGACAGCAACCTAAGCCAGAAGAACTTCGTGGACAAGTCAGCTCAGCAATGCTCTTCGCTACTGCACGTTTTAATACCTGGGTTGCTGCAAACACCTTTAAAGATGGTGATGAAATGCGTGACGCCAAAGAACAAGTCATGTCTTATATATTGCAACAATTCCAAATGATGCTTGAAGACAATTATGATGAGTATTGTGAGCAGTTTGAAAATTATCTCCGTTTCCGTAAAAACGAAGATTTTCATACCCACAAACATGATCAAGATGGCCATGATCATCAACACTGATTGAGATAAATCATCTTAGATTGATCTAAGCATTGATAAAATAGCCTCTTCAATGAGGTTATTTTTTTATAACAATCTTTCGGCAGTCATCCCTAAAACAATAAAATCAACTGATCCTCCCAATGACCTTATCCCATAAATTTACCAAGTGACAATATTCACCTTTTATAAAATTCATGTATTGTATTTTGATAATAAATAACAATTTGGACGTTATATGCAAGATTTGAATTTTCCAATCATTGACCCACATATTCACCAATGGGATCCCTACAACACCCCTCATGCAGCAGCATTTGCGGTAAAGCTTTTGGGCAAGCGTCCATTCCTACTCGATAAAATGGTGCGTTTAGTCAAAGCTAAAGATTTGATTGAAACGGTTGGACTAACCGAGCACATCACCCGCCCCTATTTACCACAAGACTATAAAAATGATCTTGGCTCATATACGGTCGAGCAAGTAGTACATATTGAAGCCAGTTGGGCCAAACAGAAAGGCAAAGGTGTCGTGGGTGAAACAGAATTTATTGAATCCTTACCCTTTAATGAAAACACCATAAAACTTGGTGGCATCGTGGCTACCGCAGACCCTTGTGATCCTAATTTCAAAAAGATTTTAAAGTTACACCAAAAAGCATCCAAACGTTTGCGCGGTATACGCCGCATGGCTGCCTTTCATGAAGATAAAGGCGTGCATAATTGGACGGATCTCCCCCATCTGTATACCGAGAAAAAGTTCTTAAAAGGCTTTGAACAACTCGCGCAACATAACCTGAGTTTTGATGCTTGGGTGTATTCTCATCAAATTCCCGATGTAATTGAGCTGGCAAAAAAGTTCCCAGAAACCTCAATTGTTTTAGACCACTTTGGTACACCAGCAGGTCTGTTTGGTAAAATTGGACAAAATACAGGCTTATCTAAAACAGCACGTGAAAATATTTTTTATCAATGGCAAGATGCTATTGCTGAATTATCCGCTTATCCAAATGTATATACCAAAATGTCTGGTCTATTTATGCCAGTGCTTGGTCATCAATTTTATAAGAAAAAACAACTGGCCTCTAAACAACAAATCATTGATCTTGTTGCACCACTGATTCTGCATGCTTTGGAAAGTTTTGGCACCTATCGGGTGATGTTTGCTTCTAATTTCCCAATGGATCGGGTCAATACCAGTCTAGTGAATATCATTGATGCGTTTAGTGATATTGTGATGCAATATGATGAAAATGCACTGAAAAATATCTTCCACCATAATGCCAAACAATTCTATCGTTTGTAATTTTACAAGATAAAAGAGGTGTTACTTAAACACCTCTTCAAACTTATTTACTGACTTTACTTATACACATAATTTTTTAACTATAGAAGTTCAGGGTCTGTTGACAATTCGTCTATGTTTGCGACTACGTGTGGTTTTTAGGCGATACTAGACACGAAATACGAAATTTAGTCACTCTAAATGATGAGAAACATCGTTTCGCAAGGTAACACGTAGCGGCAAAAAACACACTAGTCCCCCGCTGCGCCTTGCGCTGCAAACAAAGCAGTGCTTTGTTCTTGCTCAGGGTTGTGGCTAAAATTATCTCAGTCTTCGTTATGAAACTCGAAAATAGTCTCGCTATTCTCATTCATGCTTTACGACGTATACGTCTCATGCTCAATTTTAACCTACAACGCAAGCCATTTATGAAATATCAACAGATCCTAATTAAGCTGCGAAAGAAAGGCTTGAATTGCATGTCGTGCAATTTCAGCATCTTCAAATGATTTCACTCCAGAAATACCCACGGCACCAACCAACTGACCTTGATACAAAATAGGCTCACCACCTTCCAACATCCCTGAACCGCTCTGCATGGTTAAAAATCCCATTTGACCATTTTTGATAAGGGTCTCATATGATCCCGACGGTCTACGACTTAATGCAGAGCATCTGGCTTTGTCCAAACAGAATTTCGACGTCAATGCAGAAGCGCCGTCCATACGCTTCATTGCCAATAAATTGCCCGTTTCATCAACGATGGCAATACTGACATTAAAAGCATGATCAATTGCATATTGATGTGCTTTATTCAATAAAAACTCTGCATCAGATAAGGTTAAATAGTGTTTGGTTTGCATATTTTCTTCCTGAATTATAATGTCTAAAATCACAAAAAAGCCTGTAGTCCTTAGACTACAGGCTTTTATTCTAAATCAAACTTGATTCAAAAAGACTGTCCATTCTGCTCATTTATTCAAGCAATCGAAGTGGTCTTAAATCCCCTTAAGCTTGCATTTCAGCAAAGACTTGTTTGGCCATATCAATGGTAAACTGAATATCTTCATCACTGTGTGCAGCTGAAATAAAGCCTGCCTCAAATGCAGATGGAGCAAGGTTTACACCACGATTTAACATCCCATGGAAGAATTTACGGAATGCTTCAATGTCACATTTTAAAATATGGTCAAAACTGCTAATTTCGGTTTGATCAGTAAAGTAAAGACCAAACAAACCACCAGCTTGTTGAGTAAAGAATGGGATTCCAGCTTCATCCGCAGCCGCTTGTAGACCCTGTAATAATTGATCTAATTTTGCAGACAAATCAGTGTAGAAGTTGGGTTGGCGAAGGGTTTCAAACATTTTGATCCCTGCTCGCATAGCCAAAGGATTACCCGACAAGGTTCCTGCTTGGTAAACCCCGCCTAAAGGCGCGATACATTCCATGATTTCACGTTTTCCACCAAATGCACCGACTGGTAATCCAGCACCAATGATTTTACCCAAAGTCGTTAAATCAGGTTTTACATTATAATATGCTTGCGCACCACCGAGTGCTACACGGAAACCGGTCATCACTTCATCAATAATAAATACTGATTTGTATTGATCACATTGCTCACGAATCGTTTCTAAGAAACCTTTGATTGGTTTAACCAGATTCATATTTCCAGCGACAGGTTCAACAATCACCCCTGCAATCTCTTGACCATATTTCGCAAAACAAGCTTTAACAGCCTCAATATCATTATATGGCAAGGTCACCGTATGCTTGGCAAAATCAGCAGGTACACCCTTTGATGTTGGCTCACCCATGGTCAACATGCCTGAACCCGCTTTAACCAATAAAGAATCTGAATGTCCGTGATAGCAACCTTCAAATTTCACAATCATGTCACGACCTGTATAACCACGCGCCAAACGAATAGCCGTCATGGTTGCTTCAGTACCTGAGTTGGTCATACGAACCAATTCAATTGATGGCATGATTTCACAGATCAAATCAGCCAGTGTGGTTTCATGTACTGTCGGTGCACCAAAGCTTAAACCATCAACTGCTGCTTCTTGTACTGCTTGGATAATATCAGGATGTGCATGACCTAAAATCATCGGCCCCCAAGAACCCACATAATCCACATAGCGCTTGCCATCGACATCGTATAAATAAGCACCTTTGGCTTTTTCGATAAATACTGGCGTACCACCCACCCCATTAAACGCTCGTACTGGAGAATTCACTCCACCTGGAATATGTTTACTGGCTTGTTTAAACAATTGCTCTTGTTTTGGAGATAGGCTCATAAATCGACTCAATCCTGTAGAATACTAAAATTTCAAAATGATATAAAAAATCACGATACAAATTAAGATTTTGCAGTTTCTGCAAATAACTGTGCCCAAGCTGCGACACGGGCAGGAATATTTTCAACTGATAAAGCTAATATATCACTAATCACAGCGCAAAGGTCAGCACCAGCCTCAATCACAGCTTGAGAATTTTCAACTGTTAAACCGCCAATAGCACAAATAGGTAAATCAAACTTTTCAGATGCCTGCTGTAATGTTGCTAGGCCAATATTACCTGCTTCAGGTTTGGTCGATGTTGCATAAATTGCGCCAAAGGCCACATAGCTTGCCCCTTCAGCGATTGCTTTTTCAGCCAACTCAATTGAGTTTAAGCAAGTCCGCCCAATGATGACACCTTGTGGTAAACGTTGCACTGCATCTGAAATTTCACCATCAGATTGCCCAAGATGAACACCTAAACTAAATTGTTCAGCTAAATCTAAATCATCATTAATCAAAAATGGTGTCTGATACTTTTCACACAGTTGCTTGATCTGCTTCACTTCATTGGCTTGGTCAGATTGAGCTACTTTTTTACGGCGATACTGAAGAATAGCGACTTGCTTAGTGCTTAAAGTAGCTTCGAGTTTTTCTAATAATAATTGGATTGGATCGTCGTTGGTAATCAGGTAAAGACCGCGCATTCAGTATTCTCAAACAATCAAATAAATGGATTATAAGCAAGTTTTCTCAGCGAAGACGTGACAAAAACAAAAAAGCTTAGAAATCTCTAAGCTTTTTTGTTTAATTTATTACCATACTGACAAGATTAGCTCTCAATTTTATCTAGACTACGGTCTTTTAAACTTAAATTGCCACGTACAATATCGGAAAGCATACGCCAGTCCGAAATAAAACTATAAAATGGTTGCTTAAAACTTGCTGGCTTATTTTTCTCAAATACAAAATGCCCCACCCAAGCACACGCATAGCCTGAAAGCAGTCCATAGACCACGTATTTTGCTTTACGTTGACGAATTGCTTTGCTAAAAAAATAAATACCGACACTACTTCCAGCTGCATGCAAACGGCGACTCATCATGCTACGGTGTTCAGTTAAATAAAAACGATAAAATTCTGAATAGTTTTTAATTGGTAATTCAAACTTCGGGTTTTGCTCTAATTCCGATTTAGGCTCAACATACGCGTTCATGATCAATCATCCTGTTTTATTTTTAATCAGCTTAGTTTATTTTATGCTGCAATAACAGCCAAATTCAATATCAAGTCTGTTGACAATTCATCTATATTTGCGACTTCAAGTATTGCCCAGACCATACAAGTCACGAAATAGGAAATTTTGTCATTCTAAATATTTAATTAGTAACGATATAGCGGTAAAAAATACTCAAATGGCACGCTATACAAGTCTTCTGATGACACATTTTAAGTTACAATGCCAGATTAAACATTCAAGAATGTTTAACTCTCTAATAACCATGATTAACACTTAGGACCCTCACATGCTTGAAGTTGAATTAAAGTTTCAAATTCCGGAAGCCCGCCGCAATGCACTCCTCAAAGCATTAGATCCTAAAAAATCCCAAATTATTCAATTACAAGCAAAATACTACGACACGCCTGATCGTCAGATGTCCCAACACGGCGCTGCACTACGTCAACGCTTAGAAGGAACGCGTTGGGTACAAACATTAAAAGCCGCCACCAAAAGCCATTTACAACGCTTTGAAGACAATATTGATTTAGGTGAACTTGCTGAAGCCCCACATTTAGATCTTGATATTTACCAGAATAAACCCGAAGCACTTGCTGTTTTAAAAAATGCATTGGGGGATAAATTTGACGAACTTCAATTACAATTTGAAACTGACATCCAACGTACCATCCGTGTGATTCAGTTTGAAGATGCTGAAATTGAAATCAGCCTCGATATTGGTGAAGTCAGAACTGAAACCGCCAAACAAGAAATTCATGAAGTAGAATTTGAGTTAAAAAGTGGCTCAATTCAATCACTTTTAGCCTTTAGTTTTGAATGGGTTAAAAAGTATCATTTGTGGCTCGATGTACGTAGCAAAGCTGAGTTTGGACACTTATTGACTGTGGATCAAAAAGTCAGTCCAGCACAACTCAGCAAAGAAACCATTTTAAATAAAAAAGACACTGCAGATAAAAACTTACGGGTGCTTATTGCCAGTCAATTACAGCATTTATTGCCCAATATTGCTGCGATTTCTGCACAGGTTGCCCAGCCTGAACATATTATTCAAGCACAGACTGCCCTACACCATTTACATTTAAGTCTTTCTCTGTTTAAAGATTGGACAGATACCAAAACGGATAAATGGTCACATCAACTTTCAGCGTTTGAGAGTCACTTTAAAAACTTACAGCATTTTGAACATATGCAACGCACATTAGGTGCTTTACTGCAAAATCCGAAAACGGCGCAAAGTTTAGATCGGGATATTTTGTATGCCAATGAAAAACTCATCAATTTGGTCAAATCAACTCAAAATGTGCAGCACTATTTAGAATTACTCATGTTCAGTTTAGGACAGTCTGCGAAAGCGCCAACCCATGACTTAAAATGGTTTGCGCAAAATACATTGCAAAATCAGTATCGACAACTACAAGAAAGTTTAAATGAAGCCGATCTATCTGACCTTGAAAGTCTAGAAGCGCTGGCTCAGCATTTAAATGAATTAAAATTTAGCTTTCCGATCCTAACCAATATCTATGATGTTAAAAACTTGCAGAAATATGCGAAATCTTTAAATGATGCTCAACAAGCATGTGAGCAATATCAAGTGCTTGCTTCATCATCATCTTACCTACAACAAACTGACTTAGAAGCCAGTGATTGGTTTGCCTTAGGCTGGCTTACCGCAAAACAAGAAGCTTATGCAGAAAAACTGCTTGAAGCGACGGAACAGTTCTTGGTCAGCCGTAAGTTTTTAAAATAAATCAGCAGCGAGAAGAGATGGTTTTATTGAATAAAATCATCTCTTTAAATACTGCATAAAATTGAATATTTGTAGTCGCGTGAGTATTCACGTTGCGAATTTGTAATCATTCATTAAAAACTCAAAAAAAACAATTTATCGGATTAAAATCGAGAGAATAAGTAATAAGAATGGAACGATAAGCATGTTTGAAATTGAATTGAAATTCCAAATACCTGAAGAAAAGCAAGAAATGCTTATTAAAGCGTTTCAAAGAAAAGATACCAATATTCAGCACTTACAAGCCAAATACTATGATACGGCACAATTTATTTTGTCTGAACATTCCATTTCGCTTCGTCAACGCCTTGAAGATGATCAAGAAAAGCAGCAATGGGTACAAACCCTCAAACTTCCAACAGAACAAAGGCTTAAACGTGCTGAATTTGAGGAAAATATCGAAAGCGCGGAAACAGAATTAGATCTAAAAAATTATCTCAGCAATAAGCATATTGCTAAAAATATTAAACACTTATTAGAGCAACATAAAGATGGATTAGAAGTTCAGTTTCAAACAGACATCGAAAGAAAGCTCAGCTTATTTAAATTTCAAAATAGTGAAATTGAAGTCAGTTATGATCATGGTCATATCATCGCCCATCAACAGCGTCTCGCATTACGTGAATTAGAATTTGAACTGAAACAAGGCACTGTTCAAGATCTCATTTCTTTTATCTTACCTCGGATGAAACGCTATAACTTATGGCTTGATACCCGTAGCAAAGCACAGCAAGGTTTTCAGCTTGCACAAAACTCTCCAGACAATCCCGTACAGTTGCAAACGCCACTTGTTCTTGATTCAAAGGATCACCCTGAGAATGCATTAAAAAAGATCGTGAATAATTGCTTATCGCATCTACTCCCCAACACTACAGCAATTGCATCTGGAAACTTTAATTCCAAACATATTCATCAGGCACGTGTGGCAATTCGTCGCTTAAGAAGTGCTTTAAAAACCTTTTCAAATTGGTCTTTGCATATCGATCCCACTTGGCAAACACAGTTAACCGAACTATTTAGACAACTCGGTTCGGCTCGTGATTTAGATATGATTCGAGAGGAGTTATTACCTCAGCTTGAGGCTGCTGGTGCACCTAAGTTTAAACTTGCAGAACCACAAGATGTCGATTCGCAAAAATTAACCAAACTGTTTAGATCTTTTAATTTTAATTATTTGGTCCTATCCCTAATTCAATTTATTGCCCAAGAATCAAGTGAAAAATCTCAAATAGCTGTACATAAAGCAGCATTTAAAAAAGTTAGACAATTACATCGCAAAATTCAAACTGACGCAGAAAACTATTTAAATTTAGACATCGAAGCACGGCACCGTACTCGTAAAAACTTAAAGCGTTTGCGTTATAGTATTGAGTTTGTTGCATCATTATCGGATAAAAGCCAAGTCAAAAAATATTTAAAAGCTATAAAGCCTGCTCAAGAAAGTTTAGGTCTCTACAATGACCTGATTGTTGCTGAAGATGTGTTAAAAAAATTGGTCAAAACAGAACCCCAAGTCTGGTTTGCTTTGGGCTGGATTGCCGCAGAACAGCAACGGCTTTTGCTGAAATCACAACAAGATTTGCTGCAGTTTGCCAAGACAGCCGTTTTAGAGTAATTGTAGCTACTATCCTGCTCTTTAAACCGAGATGCTCCGATCACAGCGGACAAAAGCGCATAAGTTTTTAAGCAGGATATGGAATCACGTTTTCAATAACTGAACGACTCAATGCCCTGTATCAGGATCGCCTCTTCTGCACAGCTAAATTTAATATTAAATTGCCCAAAACGCATCCCATAAATACGCGCATCATCATGCTGATAAGCTGGTCGAGGATCTAAAGCCAGTACAGACTCAAGTTCAGCGATATATTTTGGGTCCATGTCAGCTGTTTGAAGAAATTTACTTTTTAATTGCTGAGCATGCTCAGACCAAATAACCTGTTTACGAACAGGCTCATGCTGGGCATAACCACTTTGCGCCGCATCCACAGCATCAGAATAATGAATATAAGGTTTAATATCGATAATCGGCGTACCATCTAAAAGGTCACTGCCTGTCACATATACACGAACTGCATTCCCCTCTTTTTTGACAGCTTTAAGTTGTACTACAGATAAACCGATCGGTGCTGGGCGATACATACTGCGTGTTGCAAATACACCGATTTTTTTATTTCCACCTAAACGTGGTGGCCTCACTTGAGGTCGGAACTTATCTTTATCTTGTTGATTTTTATTGTCATGAAACTGCCAGACCAACCATAAATGACTAAATTCTTCGATTCCCTCGAATGCTTCCAAGACATTGTAGGGTGCATACATTTCGATAAAAGACTCCACCTGAACCAGATTTGGTTGTCGAGGAATACCAAATTTTTCAACATAAGGAGAACGCATAATCCCAATAATCGGGAGACTAAACTCAGTCATAATCATTTTTTCTGATAAGTTCAATTAAATATATTCAGTTTATCGAGAATGATTTTAGATTAGAATAGCAGGCTGTTCTAATTTGATAATTTATTGAGACCTTTAATGGCTGCTTTCAACGTCGAAAAGATTACTCACGTACACCACTGGAATGACACTCTATTCAGTTTTAAGACCACACGTGATACCGCATTACGTTTTAAAAATGGTCAATTTGTGATGATTGGTCTTGAAGTCAATGGTAAGCCTTTAATGCGAGCATATTCTATTGCAAGCGCTAACTACGAAGAAGAATTAGAGTTTTTCTCAATTAAAGTGCCTGATGGTCCTTTAACTTCTATTTTGCAAAAAGTAAAAGTTGGTGATGAAATTCTAATTTCTAAAAAACCTACAGGTACTTTAGTGCTTGATGATTTGAATCCGGGTAAAAACTTATACCTTCTTTCATCGGGTACGGGGCTAGCACCATTCTTATCAACGATTCGTGATCCAGAAACCTATGAGCGTTTTGAGAAAGTCATCGTGGTACATGGTACACGCTTTATTTCTGAATTGGCTTACCAAGACCTGATTCTCAATGAACTTCCAAACAATGAGTTTTTTGAAGAGCTGGGTATTAAAGACAAATTGGTTTACTACCCAACTGTAACCCGTGAAGATTTCCATACCCAAGGTCGTGTAACTACTGCGATTGAATCTGGTGCATTATTTGAAAAAATTGGCTTACCACGTTTTAATCCTGAAACTGACCGCGCAATGCTTTGTGGTAGCCCAGCATTCCTTGACGATGTTGTCGAGCTTCTTGACCAACACGGCCTGAAAGAATCCCCTAAAATGGGTGTTTTAGGCGACTACGTGATTGAACGCGCTTTTGTTGAAAAATAATTTATTTTTCAAGCAGCGTTAAATTGAAAACCGAGGTTAAATACCTCGGTTTTTTTGAATTTAATCAATATAAATTAGTACAGCTTGATAGCTCATTTTTATAGATCTTGTATAGTGATAAAAACAGCCATACAAATGTATGGCTTTCCTTGAGTGATTCAATAATTTAAATCATCAATTTAGATTTTTCTGAGCTTGACCATATTGGTCAGCCATCACTTCAACCAATTGATCAGGTTTAATATACTTCTTAATCACAGCATTCACATCTGCTTTGGTCAATTGAGCAAACTCTTGATCTCTTAAAGCACGACTATCCATTTTCTTATTGCGTTCAAGCTGGCTGTTTAACATACGATGAATTACGCGCTCATCTTCTAAAGACGTCACACGTTGCTTCATGATATTGGCTTTAGCCGCTTCCAACTCCTGACTGGTTACTCCTGTCGCTAATAAGTCATTCAGCACTTTACGCACCACTTGCGATACTTCAGCAGATTTCCCTGCTGTGTAATTGGCTTCGATCGACAATGCACCTGCTTCATTAAAAGAGTCCAAGTTTAATTGACTACCAAAGCCATAAACCAACGCATTTTTTTCACGAAGCTCTTGTCCTAAACGAGAAGACAATTGCGAGTCACCCAAAATATAACTAAAGACAATCAGTGCTGCGGCATCTTTATTGTCCACACCTACAGGCAAGGTCTGCAAAGCTTGATAACTGCCAAACTCACGTTGTTCTGAAAGGGCATGCACTTTCTGCGCTTTATAAGTGGTAAATTCTGTTGATAGACGCTGATAAGGTTGTTTAGCTGACCAATTTCCAAATTGTTGCTCAAGTAACTTCTTGATCGGTTTTGCATCATATTGCCCAGTGATAGAAATAAAGGCATGGTCCATTGCAAAGTATGTTTTATATAAATCGACAACTTGTTGGTTGGTTGCTGCTTGAATCTGTTGTTTAGCCAGTTCTGGTTCAAAATGATAACGTAAATCACCCGGCTGATAGGTTTCAAGTAAGCGTGCAATGGTTAAAGAGGATACTGTTTCAGGCTCAGTATATGGTCGATCCAAACTAGATAAGCTTTGTAATTTAATTAAATCAAATTGCGATTGTTCAAATTTAGGGCTCTTCATCACCGACACGATATATTTAAAGAACTCTTCAAATTTTTCTTTTTTCGCTGAAATTTGAATGGTAATCCCGTTATCCGATGCAGTCGCAGTTGCTCCACCACTTGCTTCAATAGTTTTATCTGCAATGTTCTGTAAACTATATTGCTCAGAAGCACGTAATAATAAATAAGCCGTAAAATCGAGGATTTGTGCCTTATTCATTAAAGATTCAGCTGTACCAAAATTGACCTCAATGGTTGCATAGGTTTTATCATCACGTGTCGAGGTTGGGAATAAAGCATACTTCATTCCATTTTTTAAAGTGCCACGTTGAATCTTTTTCTCTGTTGCAGTCAAATATTGTTTCGATTTTTCAACATATTGAGCAACTTCAGCTTGATAAACACTGACATCTTTTAACGGTTCTACTGCAGCAGCTTGTTGATCTAAAGTTTTTGGTTTTTCAGCAGCTTGCTTTTGCTCCAAGGCCTTTTTCTGATCTTCAGGTGTCGGTTGAATATCACCATTAAAACGGTGCTGCTCAGTTAAAAATGCTTTTAAAGTTGCATTAGTTTCAGCTACGCTTAACTTTTGAATGGCCTGTTGATCTTTAAAATATTGTGCCCAATTGCCATGCGATGACACCACATAATCACTCAACATACCACCGACAGCAGCGGCACTGGTCAATAAACTTTCATTGGCATTCTGGATCAGATTTTTAACTCGTTTTAATTCAACATCATCAAAACTTTTATTTTTTTCTACACCGGCAATTAACGCACTGTCAATTTTTTGGGCATCATGGTTTGGCGCATATATTGCTCCCATAAATACCAAGTTAAAATCATCATCTAACCATGTTGTTGACTGGACATTGGTCGCGACGCCAGTTTCTACCATGCTGGAATATAGATGACCACTCGGTTGTAAGGTATATAAATATGGTGCAAGTGCTAATACTGGCTGAATTTTTTCATTCTTACCATTCATATAAATATTGAATTTGGCAAGATCACTGCCCTTTTTCACCACAAAATTACGATTTTTTATGGTTGAAGAATCAAGTAAAGGCACTATTGCTTGTTGAGGAATCTTACGTGCAGCAATTGCACTAAAGTTTTTATCAATGGCTTTTAAAACTTCTGCTTTATCAAATTTACCTGCAATCACCATCACCGCATTATTCGGTGCATACCAGTCTTTATAGAATTTGTTCAATTCATTCATTTTAATTGACTGTAGTTCAGCAAGATCACCGATCGGTAAACGACCTAATGACTTGTTGCCGTAGGCTGCTTTCCACATTTGATCCATCAGCACAGCAAAAGGCTGATCCATACGCACTTCGCGTTCACGCATCACAATATTGATTTCTGAAGGAACGAATTGTTCTTGAAGCACCAATTTGTCCATACGTTGTGACTCTAAATAAATCACTTCGTTTAAGGTATTTTGGTCTGGACGTACAATATTGGTATATTTAGTCGAATAATAATCGGTACTGGCATTGGTCATTAACGTATATTGATCTAAACGGCGTTGAAATTCTTCGCCTTTTACATCTTGTGTGCCTTTAAACGCTAAATGTTCAAGTAAATGTGCAAGACCACCTTTGCCTTGTGGATCATTTAATGAACCAGTCAAATAAACCGTATTCATAAAGACTTTACTTTCTTTATCATTCGGTGCAAGTAAAACTCTAAAGCCATTCTCTAGCTTATATTCTTCGATATTATGTTCAGATTTAACAAGGATGGCTTGAGCAAAACTAGACGCACTAAAACCAAGAATACAAAGCGACAAGGTGAGTTTTTTCAACTGCATGAGCATAGGAGAATCCAGAATTTTTTAAATTTTAAACAGTTATAAGCTAAACATCTTAAGAAATTCTGAACAAAATTTATAGTAAAGTTTTGAAAAAAGAGCCGTTTATTTCAACGGCTTTTGTAATGATTTGAACATGTCTAGCTTAAAATCAATTTAAATAAAAATCTCAGCTTGCATAAATAACTGTGCATAGCCTGAAATTTCGATACGTTGACCATCCTGAATATCACAAAACAATTTTCCACCGCGCGCTGATGCCTGATAACCGATAAGTTGTTTTTTACCCAGCTTCTCAGCCCATAAAGGCGCTAAACCAGTATGCATAGAACCTGTTACAGGATCTTCATCTATCCCTTTATGCGGGGCAAAATAGCGAGCCACATAATCATAATCGTTTGAAGCTGCGGTAATGGTCACATCATAGCCTGCAGACTCCGCAGTTAATGCGGTACTCACATGATATTGTTCTGCAATTTTTCGGATATTGGGTAAGTTTGGCGTTGCATTTATCACGTCTTGTGCAGATTCACAAACTAAAATATACGCTTGCGCATTGAGATAGACTTCTTTAAAAGGCTGATCAATGACATGATTCAATAATTCTGGATAATCGATCACTTTTTGCGGCTGACGAATCGGGAAATTCATCTGGATCTTTCCATCCTCAGCTTGCTGGATGATAAAAATACCCAAATCTTTAACATGAAAATGAATCGTCTTCGCTTGGGTATGATCTTTAAATAAAACGAAAGCTGAAGCTAAGGTTGCATGTCCACAAAAATCGACTTCAACCTGTGGGGTAAACCAGCGAATTTGATAATTTTCATCATCAATGCGTTTTACAAAAGCAGTTTCTGCCAAATTATTTTCTAAGGCAATATTTTGCATCAAAGCATCATCCAGCCAGTCATCTAAGACCAATACAGCAGCAGGATTGCCCTTAAACAATTGTTGTGTAAAAGCATCAACTTGGTACATTTTCATTGTCAAAACTCCTCATTTTAATCTATTCTAAGTGATACTAAAAATGATTACAGATACAGTCTATGTTTTAAAATGGTTACAGTTAAAACTCTAGCTTGATCGTATTGACCATTCAAAATACACCTGTTTTATAGATTCATTTGAAGTTTATAACCTTTCCTAGATCAATAATTATGGAATAAGCACGATGAAAATAAGCATAAAACTCCGAAGCGTCGTTATAAGTAGCCTAATCCTATGTTCTCCACTGACTTTTGCAGCCGATACCATTTGGATTGCTGGAAGCACACATAAAGGGACAGTTACCGTACCGATAGAGAATGGCCCTAATGTGGTTTGGAAATGCGATGGTACTGTATGTCGGATGTCTGGTCCTTGGGGCAATCAACTTTCAATAGACTCATGTCAAAGTTTGGTCTCCCGAATTGGGAAAATCACCTTCTATAAAAATTCTGCTGGAAAAATTTGGACAAAAAATTCAAAAGAATTGGCTGAGTGTAATCAAGCAGCAAAATAGAACGTTTTAGCGCCAGCAGGCCATCATATTTGTAAGAAAGTGATCGATAAACTGCTATTTCGAGTAGTGAATACTTTGCCTTGTTTTAATGAATATGCGTTTAATGAATCAGAGTATGTTTGATAAACTTTAGTTGAAAAAAACACCTAAATGTAATTTAGGTGTTTTTATGGCATTTAAATAATATAGAAAAATGGGTTAACTATGTTTTAACTCTTCTCTCTCATCTGAAAGCAAAATGCTTTGATCTGTCTGCCCCATCAATTGACTGGTCACAACACCTGCAGTCATCGAACCATCAACATTTAACGCAGTACGCCCCATATCAATCAAAGGTTCAATGGAAATCAGCAAAGCCACCAAAGTCACAGGTAAACCCATAATCGGTAAAACAATCAGTGCAGCAAAGGTTGCACCACCACCGACACCTGCAACGCCAATTGAACTTAAAGTCACCACGCAAGCTAAAGTTAAAATCCAGATCGGATCAAGTGGATTAATCCCCACTGTTGGGGCAACCATCACCGCAAGCATTGCTGGATATAAACCCGCACAACCATTTTGCCCAATCGTTGTACCAAATGAAGCAGAAAAGCTGGCAATAGATTCAGGCACACCCAAACGGCGAGTTTGTGCTTCAATATTTAATGGAATACTTGCCGCACTCGAACGGCTGGTAAAAGCAAAGGTTAATACAGGTAAAACCTTTTTAAAGAATCGGATTGGATTAACGCCTGTCAGCAGCAATACAATTGCATGTACTGCAAACATGATAGCTAGACCCAGATAAGAGGCAACCAAGAAACCACCGAGATTAACAATGTCAGCGGCTTTAGAACTTGCCACAACTTTTGTAATCAAGGCAAATACACCATAAGGTGTAAGCGTCATCACCAATCGAACTAACTTCATCACCCACGCTTGCAAAGTATCAATTGCAGTGACGATACGTTGGCCTTTTTCGGCATCATCTCTGATCAGGTTAAGCCCTGCCAAACCGAGCATCGTAGCAAAGATCACCACACTAATGATTGAGGTTGGATGTGCCCCTGTGAGTTCAGCAAATGGATTTGTCGGCAAAAAAGATAAAATAAAATCAGGTACATTTAAGTCTGTGACTTTACCAATATATTCAGATTGAATTGCTTCAAGACGAGCTGTTTCCTGTGTCCCCTGTACAAGACCAGCCGCACTTAATCCAAATAGATTGACCACAAACACGCCAACCAAAGCGGCAATAAACGTGGTGATTAATAATGTACCAATACTAAAAATACTAATCTTGCCTAATGAGGATGCATTATGTAACTTAATCACAGCACTCAGGATCGAGACCAGCACTAATGGCATCACCACCATTTGCAAAAGCTTAACATAACCATTTCCAACGATATTAAACCATTGAATAGACTCGGTTAAAATTTCAGAATTTGTACCATAAACCCAATGTAATCCTAGCCCAAATACCACACCTAAACATAAACCGGCAAACACTTTTTTAGCCAGACTCCAATCTGTCTTTCTGGTTTGCATCAGCAGTATGATCAAGGCAATGAATATGACAATATTCAAAATGAGCGTATAGTTCATTCGAGTTCCAATAGTTTTGATCGTTTTATTATAAGCTTATTGTGAAATATCCAATAGTCTTTAGCATTTTTTGATATTTAAGTGTTGTTTTCTCAACATGCACTATTAATAATAAAAACATGACTTTAGCGCACTCATGAATTTTTTGTATAAGCTTATACAAATAAAGACTAACACCCAGAATATAGGCCATCTCATGAATTCACATATCCAAACTGTTGAACTTTCTAAGGCTTATCGCCTGTTAAATCACGGTCCAACCGTGCTTGTCTCAGCCCAGTATGAAAACGAAAAAAATGTCATGGCAGCAGCATGGGCTTGTGCATTAGAACTTGTGCCTGCCAAAGTGAGTGTGGTTTTAGACAAAAGTACGAAAACTCGTGAATTAGTTGAAAAGTCAGGTCATTTCATCCTACAAGTACCGACACTCAAACAACTTAAGCTGGTACAACAATTAGGCTCAATCAGTCAGTTTAATGATCCTGAAAAACTCTCACACTGCCATACGCCACTTTTCCAATTTGAGGGATTTCAGCTCCCTGCGGTTGAAGGCTGCGCTGCATGGTTGATCTGTGAACTGATTCCTGAACCGCATAATCAACAAAGCCATGATTTATTTATAGGCAAAGTCGTCGCTGCGTATGCGGATGATCGTGTATTTCGCAATGGTCACTGGTATTACCATGAAGTTGGCGCTGAATGGAAAAGCCTACATCATGTTGCAGGTGGACATTACTATACGATCGGAGACCCTGTAGATGCCAATCTATAATCTATAGGCTTAATCCTTACGAAATTTGCTTGTCGATGGGGCAATCTGTTCTAAATCACATTTAATTCATAATTGTTCAATAATCTAAACAGACTGAGCCCATCATATTAATCATACTTATCGCAGAGTAAGCTTCGATTTTACCAACTGGTTAAGTTATGTGAATAAGCCCTGATTATTCCCAAACTAAATACTGATTATTTATTGTCATTTTTTTAAATTCACCTTAAGGTGAATTAACGGAAAATGGATAATCTGCACAATGACCAAGATCGGATCGAATAAAATTCAGCTGAGTATCTTTCTATGCCTGTGTATGTGTTTAGGCATTGGCATTCTCCGATTTTCCTATACTGCATTATTGCCCTCTACCCGTCTTGCTTATCATTGGGACTCCAGTTTTGCCAGTATATTAAGCAGTGCAAATTTGTTGGGGTATTTAATTGGTGCATTTTGGGCAATGAAACTGCCTCAAAACTTTACCATGCCTCGATATATCATTTTGGCGGCATTTTCTGGAACGGTGAGTTTACTCAGTTGTGCTTTTTCAGGTCTTCCCGAAAGCTGGTATGTCTTTTGGCGTGTCATTTCTGGCATCAGTGGTGGCTTATTGATGATTCTAGCACCCAGTATCGTTGCACATTGCAGCAAAGCTGAAGAACGTTTAACCATCAACTTCATTGGCTTTAGTGGTATTGGCATTGGGGTATTATTGGCAACCCTGTTTTTGCCTTATCTCGACAGAATCAACACACAATCTGCATGGATGATTTTATTTGCATTCTCTGCTGTCATTTGTTTGATCATCGTTTATTTACTCAATCTATTTAAAGATCATCTAGATCATATCAGCGTAGCAAACAATCAGACGGGGACAGTCAATGGCATGTATTTTAGTTTGCTGATTGTTTATGCTTCTAGCGCTTTTGCCTATGTTCCCCACTCATTGTTTTGGATTGATTATCTTAAAAACACCCTACATCTTAATCTATATCTAATTAACTTGAATTGGATTTTGTATGGTTCAGGCAGTGCCTTAGGTGCAATCAGTGCTTACTTACTGGCACGAAAATTTGGCAATTTTACCGCATTAAAAATATTATATAGCCTGTATGTCTTGGCGATCTTTATTGCGATTTTTTCAACCCATCCAATCCTTACCTATACCTCATCCTTTTTTACAGGTTTGCTTAATCCTGCTGTGGTTTTCCTTACTTCATATACCATTTTACATCTTTATCATGTGGCCTATAAAAAACTATGGAGCATAGCAACATTAGCTTTTGCCGTAACCCAATTGGTTGGTGGAATCTGTTTTAGTAGCTTGCAACATTGGGGTGTCTCCTATCATCAGCAATTTATACTTGCCTCATGTGTACTCGCTGTAGGTACAGCACAATTTTTTATCTATTCTCAAACCCATCAAGCACAACTGCATAAAAGCTAAAATAAATGATCATGTTGTGTGAATCATATCGCGATTAAAAGCTTCTCCTCCCCTTTGAAGAAGATGAGGATGAGGGTGCTTTATCTTAATCTATGCTTTAAAAAAGGACAGATGAAAGAAGCCTAGTGCTTCGTTTTAGAATCGCGCCAATCTAAACACGCTAAGCTTTATCCACCGTAAAATAATCGGCTTTGCACAAAGAAATAATTTAGATATCAACCTCAAACACATAAGTTTTAGCTTTCACTTAAAGCACTTTGCCCACAATTATTGACCATTTGGCATATAAATTGCTCTTTGTAATACAGGGATGGCAAAGTCATAAAGGTTTTAAGATGAATACTGAAATTAAAAAAATTCAACCTGAAGATGAAGTTTTAAGTGCGGGAAAGAACCTGACATTTGGTTTACAGCATGTACTCACCATGTATGGTGGTCTGATTGCGGCACCTTTGGTCGTAGGTACGGCTATTGGTCTAAATGCAGCTGAAATTGCCTTATTAATTACGGCATCTATTCTTGTGGGTGGTTTGGCAACATTACTACAAACGCTTGGACTAAAGTGGTTTGGTGCAAAACTTCCAATTGTACAAGGCACTTCATTTGCTGCTGTCGCAAGCATGATCGCGATTGGTACAACTGGGGGAAATATCCAAACGATTTTTGGT